ACCCGATTAATCACTCACCCTGAAGAAGGACCCCCAACGGGTTCGAAACTGTCGGTGCCTACACCGAATGTTATCACGTGAGTTTAGCCGTATTATAATTTATGTAGTGACAACTCTGTTTTTAAAAAAAAGGAATAAAACTGGTAGAAATCAAAGCGCGACTAAACAGTTGTGCGATATTTTAGTCTAAGGTGTACGCACGCTCTAAAGAGAGTTCATTGTTATAATTTTCAATGTAAACATTACAAAGATTTATATTCCCTTAGGATTTTCTGTCTGTAATGCTTTGGGGACCCATATTCTTAGAGAATATCCAATCTTATTTAGCATACTCAAGGACACTTTATATTTCTCCAGAGGGCGCCACGTGCGACCTTACTTGACATTGTACTTTGCAACCAAATACGCTATACTGCGGTTACGATACTTGGATAACATTCTTTTTTTAGTTATCTAACTTGAATAGATATGTGTTAAGAAAATTGAAGCTAGTAAGATAATAAATTTAAAAGATTATAAATTCCAACTATCCTCTACATCTATGCCAAATTTTAATCGAGATCCACTCCGCAGTTTAGTGTACAAACTCTAACAAACATCCGTCCATTCATTATTATGATAAAGATTGTTGAAAATAAGTGTCGCGACACACCTATATTGCTCAGAACGATAACGATATTAATCGTTGAAGTACTTACATCATACTTTGCAGATGTGTCACTACACTAATTAATGAATGGTAGGGACCAATAGTAACTTGTAAACAGATTGTAAGGTAACCTTCAATAACATTTTTACACCTGCAGGCATAATCACCAGCTCACTATACGTCCCCACTATAAGGCTCGGAGTCTACCCTAATTAAGGGGTGACTAGGTCACATTTACACATATCTTTGAACTTTATCGCCGATATGCAGCCATCACGATATTTTCTCACCATAAGAACGTCGAGATAAATTACGTTCATACAAAATTCGATAAATCGCAGTGGTATAGCGGGATTCCAACCCAAGACCTGTAGACAAGTCAAGTGCTTAAACCTCTGAGCCATCGATCTGCACGTATACATGTTTGTAATTATAAATAGTAAACTGCCTTATTGGTAATCTGTCTATTTAACCTGTCACCATGTTCTGGGAACCTGAATACACCAGGAAATGTGAAGGCGATAGGTCCACGACCTCTAATAATGCCCCTCTTATCACTAATGTCGTGATATTGCTTGTTATTAATGAATGCAGACGTACAGATAAGAACACGTTTTTCTATACAACGGGCATCACGTGCAATCGATGTAACTAACTGAGGACAGAATTGTTAAGTGGAAAGGCATCCCTTAGTGCAGATTTGTATATTTTTAGTGAAGCTATTAAAACTTAATTCGAACATTGCATTTTTAATAATTAAATGTTAATATGGTTACAAGCAAGTTAGTAATGTAAGAGCGTCGGTGGCTCAGTGGTTTGAACACTTGACTTGTAATCTACAGGTCTTGGGTTCGAATTCCGCCATTTACCAATGTGACTTTCGATTTAACGAATTTTCATATATACATAATTTACCCGACGTTCTTACGGTGAAGGAAAACATCGTGATGCCTGCACATATCGGCGAAGAAATTCAAAGATATGTGTGAAGTCAACCAACCCGCACTTGGCCAGCGTGGTTGACTATGGCCTAGTCACCCCGCATTAGGATAGACTCCGAGCCCCTCGGTGGGGACGTATAAAGAGCTGGTGATGAAGTAATGTAAAGGTTGGAAGTAGCGCCAGTGGTGAAGAAATTGAAAAGCAAAAGGTTAGCGTGGTATGGACATGTTATGACGACCTGACGTTGGGCACATAAACCAGAAAGTATTAAGAATGAATGTGGGTGGTTACAAAGGAAGAGGAAGACCGAAGAATGAATGGATTGTGTCTAAGAGGATATGCTTAAGGAAGTGAATTTAGAGCAGCACATACTGTGCCGTGTAAGGGGTAAGGGAAAGTTGATGATGACAGGCAAGTAATGGAAGCGATTTATTAATAAAATGATTTTTTTTGGTATTATCTCTGGTAGCTACATTGTAATATAAATTGTGATACAAATATGTTTGTTATTAAATACAGAATTATTTATTCGAAGGCGATATCGCGGTATCGGCTCGTAATTGACTTTAATTTACTTTATAATGTTTATTACACTTACATACTTGTGACGATAACATCTCAATGTGAAACTTGAATCTTTTATAGTAGAAATACAATTATATCTTACGAAAGTTTAGATGTATGGATGTTTTAAATACGTATCTCCAGAACAGCGCAACGGTTGTTGTCATGAAAAACATTACACTTTCTTCATACCACATAGACGGAGTCGCGGGCAAAAGTCTTATTACATTATAGAAGTTAGGGCTTAATATAGTCTGTAGAATAGGCTAGCAAGAGTTTAAAGCCCAGTTTCATTAATTCTTAGCCCGTATGCGGGAAGTCCAATATAACGACAGAGTTCTCGACTAGTGAAATTGCACCCTAAAATAACTGTTTGCTGTTGAGCATACACGGGCAAGAAAAATGTTACTCGTCTATACTGACATTATAAATGTATTTTTGTCTCTATTGAAATAAGTCAAAAACTACTGAGCCGATTTCAAAAATTCTTTCACCAATAAAAAGCTACATTATCATTGAATGATTGGAATATATTTTTTTAAATCCACACGAAGTCGCGAGTGAGCTAGCATGTCAATCGAAACAGCTTAGCGTATAATAGCATCGTATAACGCCTAAAGACTCAATAATTAATTCATCAGATGTTATCGTCTACGAATAAAGAATGTTTAATGTCTGTTGTGTTCAAATATTTGGTGTACGAACAAACGGATGTATTGTATTTTAATTATACATTTATTAGGCCTTGGAATCGTAGTTTAAACTTCGTATTACGAATTAACCTTTCAGTACCGTTCTGGGGCCTGAGCGGTACAAATAGTTACATTGGTAATAAGGGTAACCAGCTGTAGCCCGCGACTTCATCACACGCAATATTAAGATAAAAAAAAAATCAAACAAAAAAAAAGAACATACAGACGAATTGAGTACCTCCTTCTTTTGGGAAGTCGGTCAAAAATGGGACCCACCTGCAAGCATTACTTTTCGGATAAAGAAAGAATTATCAAAATCGGTCCACTAGCGGCGGAGTTATGCCGTAACACACATAAAAAAATAACATACAGACGAATTGAGTACTTCCTTCTTTTGGGAAGTCGGTCAATAAAAAGTAGCCTATAATATGCCCGTCTCTGTCAGTTACCCTTCAGTGAAAGTTCGGTCGAAATGGGCCCAGCAGTTTCGAAGATTACCCGGAACAAACCTAGCTTGCAGACAAACAGGCAGACAAAAAAAATGCGATTTTCGTTTTCAACAACGCAAATACATCATCTTCCCGAAATCCGGTTTTTTTTCTTTTGAAATTAGAGTCCAATTTTACTATATGTATGTATAGATCTAGTATTCGAGTGATTTTTTGTGGTCTAAATTTGTTGTGACAGACTTATTTTCATAACCAACTAACAAACTTAGTGGTTCCGACTTTAAGTACACTTTATGCACTTATTAACTAACACTTAGTGTTGTAACTTAGTCTGAGGGTCATAGTAATGATTGTCTGTTCTTTTCAGGATCTGCGTTGCCAGGGGGCGGAGCGCCATGCGCGGCAGGCATCCGCGCGGTCGGCTGGCAGTAGGGGGCACGGCCGCCCTGCTGGCTGCCGCCGCTCTGGGCGTAGCCCTCACCTGGAACCAGATATTTGACGCTGCACTAAGCGCAGTAAGTATTCACAAGCATATTCTATTCTTTCTCTGATATTATATTACCGGCCTTTCAAAGTAATTTTAAGAATCTTTTCAAAGGTGATTAACATAGTGTACTGTTTCCGTTATGCTTTAATAGATGGCGCTGATAACACAGATTAAAAAGAAGTGTTCAGATAATCTTATCTCTGAAGTGATTCACACAGGAGCTCTAATTTAATAAAGAGGATACAATTATAAATAATATCGTAATTACTAAGTACAACTATCATTTAACATCCGCTTAGTTTTGAGGTTAATGTTACAAAATTTAACATCAATTCTTCACATAAATTGATATACAAATCTGACTGTAACATTCTTTGAAGAAATCTGAAATCCTTTGAAGAGAGAATCAACATAATTTATTTATTAAAATGTTTTTCGCTTTAAGAAAGTAGTGGGATAACTGAGTTTTGTTTGTTTTAGACTTATGGAGCATTATCGTCACTTCGCAACAAACCCCCTGTAAAGAAAAATTAAAAAAAAAATGTTTTGAGTTACCGTATTTTTACCGTTATCGTTTCCTTGAATTGATGTAAAAAGGCAATCGATAAATCGATAAAACCTTACCCATAGTACAAATAGTTAATATAAATTTGGTTCGTAGTTACTTTCATTTCCTGTCAGTTTTTTCTATCTGTTAATGACAGAGTTCAATGAACTCTTATCAGTAACGACCAGAACGTTGCGTTAAAATGTTAGTTACCTTGTCCTGTTATAGTTTGTCTAAATAATTTAGATTAGTGTGACAATTCATTTTAAATTTAGTAGGGATGGTTGTGTAAAATCAGTCATGAATCTTATCGATTTTCGATTTTTATTCTTATAGAAGTTGGAATCGTTAGATTTATAGTTATAACTCATGAAATAAAAAAAAACACTGTTTTCTCAAATGAATAATGACCATAACAAATAATGAGAGTAAATAAATGTTTATTACTACTACAGCCGTACGTAATCGAATTGGATTTCGCTATTATTTCTGTCATCGCTAAATTCTCTACACTGTAATCAATACTAGAATTGAATAAGAAAATAATAATTTTATTTGAGTTCGATAATTATTTAAACCGAATATCGATAGTTCAAAATTGTTCGCTATGCGTTCGTCACTACGATACCTGTCTATTAAGTACGGCATTTGCCTTCATACAAATTGAATTCGATACTTTATATGCGTTATTTATCAAACTAATCTATCTTATTTAGACACACTATACCAGCATTCTTTAATATTTGTGAATTTAACATAAAATATTTATCTTATACAATCTGTGATAAAATTTTTCGATATAAAAGAGCATCTAATATCTGTTGATAAAATCCAATTTTCATTACTTAACTGATTTTTATATATCTGCATAATTCATGCTTTTACAAATTTTACTTAAAGTAAAATGTTGTCAAAAAAAATTTGGGCTCGTCCGGGATTTGAACCCGGGACCTCTCGCACCCTAAGCGAAAATCATACCCCTAGACCAACGAGCCGAGTAACAGGGATTGCGAAATTATGGATGATTATAAAAGTATATTTTTAATTAAAAAATAATAAAATACTGTTCTGTTTTTAACAATTTTTTATCTAGAATCACGGTTAATTTAAATCCTATATGAATGACAAAATAATCCCTCTTAAATACATACATATTTTTTTTAGATACTTGAGTTACTTTTTATTTATTTGCATAACAATGTTTATAACAGTTTTTCCGATTGTTATCTTAAATACGCTCATTCATTAAGTATTTTATTGTTTTATTTATTAGCAAGCAGCTGTGGTTTTTAACAGTTATCTGCGATTATATACTATTTATTTATTTGTTGGTATTTTTTCTGAGAAATATAATTCAGATATTAAAATTAGCAAAAGATTTTTTACTGAATATACGTCTATTCATATTATGCAAAACTATGTTATACTAGCTTTCGCCCACGACTCCGTCCTCGTGAAATTAAAAAAAAAACAAAAGCAGGTAGCCTATGTGTTCTTCCAGACTATCGTCTACATCTATACCAAATTTTGCCGAAATCCGTTCAGCCGTTTAGGCTACAAACTCTAACAAACATCCATCCATCCATCCATACTTTCGCATTTAAAATACTAGTATGATTTACATTAAAAAAATATCTAAATGAAAAAATTGACAAAAGAATTAAAAATTATTAATAAATAAGTAATAAATAATATTAATATTTTGTGATTTGAATGCAATAAAAAAAAATAAAAAAAATATCCGCCTCAGTGTGGTCACCTAAACAGTTCCAGGGGCACCTTGACAATTAATCGATTCTAATCGATTCGGGATAAACAGGAGATGTGCCGATTGACTCGCGGGTCAATTGCTGCTTACGACAATCGTTAATATCTCAACAAACTAATTCGACCGCGAACTTACAATTGTGTTTCAATACATGTCCATTTATAACCTAATCGGGTGTACTTTGACTAATTTATCGCACAACTATTTAGTTGCGCTTTGATTCTTATAAGCATATTAATCTGTGTGGATGTGCAACTAAACAGTTGAATTGGTTGCAAACCAATCGACAATCGCACGACAGTTGTGCGATAGTTTAGTCAAAGGCGTCTGTTCTTACTAGTATTATAAATACGAAAGTTAATTATTAAACTAAATATTATTTAAACGATACTTTACATAAAAGGAAACATGTTTTCTTCTATCGGCACGTTTTCGGATCTTTATGTTCCCATTTAGCGATTAATTCTTGAGAATACTATATTTTAGAATAGAGAATTGTTCTCTAGAGTATTGAATGACATTGGATTGAAATTATGAGTAGTTTGCGTGACCTTATACTCGAGTCTTTCCCAAGGGAGGTATTCTATAACGTATACCAAGTTAGTTACTGATTAGATTTTTACTACCTTTTTCCTGTGACTCAGACCACGAGGAAATAAAAAAAGAAAGTATCCTATGTGTTCTTCCAGACTATCCTCTATATCTATGACAAATCATCTATGACCATCCTCACCATCTCGATGGCTGGCATTCCACAACTGTGCGGTTTTTGCGGAACTTTCTGCCCCGCACAGCCGCGTTGTGGAACGGTCTGTCCTCGGCGGTATTTCCAAACCAATACGACTTAGGGTCCTTCAAGAAGCGAGCCTATCATTTCCTCAAAGGCCGGCAACGCATCTGTAGTTCCTCTGGTGTTACGGATGTCCATGGGCGTCGTTGACCACCTTGGTGTTCACGCCGCTCGTTTGCCCCCTTCTTTTTATAAAAAAAAATTTCATCGAGATTCGTTCAACAGTTTAGGCTACAAATCCATCCATCATCTAAACTTATGCATTTATAATATTAGTAAAAAGTAAGATCTGTTTTGATTAATTCAATCTTGAATTACTATAATCGATTTGAGTAGAATCGATATCCTCTGTTTTTAATTAAAAACAAAAATCAAAGAAAAAAATGGGACTCACCTGCAAGCACTACCTTTCGGATAAAAAAAGAATTATCAAAATCGGTCCACTAGCGGCGGAGTTATGCCGTAACACACATAAAAAACATATATAGACGAATTGAGTACCTCCTACTTTTGGGGAGTCGGTCAAAAAATAGTAACTAGTTATGATATTTTTAAGTCCTAAATAAAAATGTGAGCTAATGATGTAACAATCGATAGTATTTTTAACCTATAAATTGTTTATTTCAAGCAAATGGTGATGAGTCCAACATCCCGAACATTCCGGGAATGGGTGGAGCCGACTGTACCTCTCTACTTCGACGTCTACCTCTTCAACTGGACCAATGCTGACCAGTTTCCGAACGAAATACCGAACTTACAGGAAGTAGGTATGTACAAATTAAATTATGAAAACGAATTACATCATACTAATATTATAATGCGAAAGTTTAGATGGATGGATGTTTGTTAGAGTTTATAGCCTAAACGGCTGAACGATCTCGATGAAAATTGGCATAGATGTAGAGGATAGTCTGTAAGAACACATAGGCTACTTACTTTTATTTTTTTTAATTCCACGCGGACTGAGTCGCGGGCGAAAGCTAATGTATATACAGGATTAATAATGCAATAGACAATGTATACTTATGTATGAAAACGAATAGATTTCTTACTACTTATATAAATGAGAAAGTTGGTATGTTTGGATGGATGTTAGTAGCATAGATGTACTGCATAATATAGAAGAAAATAAACTGAAAGAAAGAAATCAGTTTATTCAAAAAAAGAAAAGGAATTAATTGGGCATGTGCTGCGGTGTACACCGAAGCGCCAGTTTTCAATGTGTCCTAAACTGCTTAACCTTTTTTTTTAATTCCACGCGGACAGAGCAGCGGGTACCAGCTAGTGATTTCATAAAGCTTCTTAATTAGGAAGAAAACAAGATCTTATTTAATCTGTCTAATCTGATATTAAATCGCAAAAAGTTAACGATCGTTGCAAAATTTAATATTTTTGTTTACGCCAAAGTTTTTCGTATTTCCAATAAAAAGCCTTTTAATGAGCATATGTTACAAAAAAGATATTTTTTCGTAAAAGTACAGTTTATGTTTTTTTTAAATGGACTTCCTGGAAACGTTCCCTACAAAACACCTGTAACTCGTTTATAATTTTCATATTTTTATTGATCACTATTCGTAAAAGGAGATATAACCTTGGTAAATAACCTTAAAAATTTTGGCTACCTATTAATTAATATTTTTTTAGTTAATGTTTCCCATTTCTTTAATAAATATAAGTAATTTACATTTTGTACGGTTACTAATAAATAAAATGAAGTACGGGTTTATTCAACCTCTTTGGTAGTTAATGAGTTTGAATTTCAGAGACGTACTGGCCACTAAGAATGTGCCATATTTTATGTATAAAAAGATATGTGAAAAAATAGAATGGCGGGAAATGGAATACGAGAAATAGCTACCCATAAAAATGTTTTCGTAAATTTAAATTTATTTGATTTTTAACTCAGCTTATTGTAAATTTTCTACTAATCCGTTTTTAACGAGCAAAAGTGAGGTAACAAACAAAATCTCTTACCAGCGACTTCTCGGTCTATAATAATATTATTAGCCTGTTCCCAGGTCCGTACCGATTCCGCGAGTACCGGCGACACGTGAACGTGTCGTGGCACCCACACAACGGGTCCGTGTCATACCGCACGCAACGCAGCTGGCAATTCGACGAAAACAGCAACGGAACACTCGAAGATAACATCACTACACTAAATATTATAGCGGCCGTGAGTATTTGATGATTACAATATTTTAACTTTAAAAATAACCTGTAGATTCTGGAATATGCTAGAGAATGTGTTAAATATTTTTGAAAATGTGACAATCCTTTTGGCCAACGAAACCACTAGACAGGTTATAATAGTTATTTTGTGCCTATTTGATTATCGCCATTTTAGCGGTGGCGGTTACTGGTAGCAGTGGATTTGAATTAATAATACATAGAATAACAATCAGGGACTTAAAGCGCAATGAAGAAATAGCTGTCATTTTCAAGCAATGTCCTATCTATTTATAGAGACCTATCGAACCACAGACAACAATAGAGTTTATGAAAAGTTTAGGCAATGGAAGATGTTTACAATTTAATATAAGAAAAATGTATCTTTAAAATACATTTAAATACAGTAACGAGGATCATTGTTTTGGGAATGCCTTGAGGATTGTAACAAGCCAAGGACCGGACTCTGACCGGATTACATACCGACTAATTGGATTAAAACGATGAAATGCCACATGTTCGTCTATTTTTGGACGTTAGGATTTTGTTTTACAGCTTTGTTTTGTTTTGTAGACATTGGGGTTTTAATTAGATGTGACAACTGTTTTATTTAACTTTATGAAACTAATGAATTTAAAGCGGCTAAAGTTGCCGTAGTTTTACTATCGAATTTAAAAGGCTACAATATTCGTTAAAACGTTACGTACACGTGCACTCTCAAGGATTACCCAGGGCCGGACTAACGAGACGTGACCTCGCGCCCGGTGTGTAAATCTCGTACCCTAATTGGATAAGTTTGAAGGGATTCAAATTTTACTGCTAAAAATAATCCGAGATTGCAACGTGATTGTATGAACTGTGTTGATCCCGACTTTGTCACGTTCACGATTAAGTAGTTTTGATACTATTGTTACAATGAATTTTTAAGATTTGGTTTTATAACGGAATGCTATAATTATAACATAAATTGATTTGCTTTATATTTTAAAGGCCTATACCATAGACTGTTAGGGTCTTTTAAAATATACAAACAAGAAAGGATACATCTTACGATTTGTAAATTAAAAATTGCAATTTTTAAAATAAAAATGTTCTCTACGTTCCAGTCAGCAGTCTACAGATCAAGAGACTGGGGTTTCATAAGACAGAAAGGCTTAGCGATGGGCCTGGCGATGTTCGGTCACCATTTATCAATATCAAAACTGGCAACGGAGCTGCTCTTTGAAGGTTACGATGACCCTTTGCTGGACCTGGCTAAGAGTCTCCCAGCGAGTGCCACGGGAGGAGCGCCACCTGTCGACAAGTTTGGATTATTCTATGGTGTAAGTATTCTTGAAGTGTTTCTGTGATTGTGTGTGCTTGAATACAAGATGCTTTATAACATATAACATTTCTTCCATTTCAGAGAAACAATTCATTAGACACGGACGGATTTATGGAAGTGTCGACGGGTGCTGGAGGTGCGGCGGGCTCATTACCTGGACAGATTCTCAAGTGGAACTACGAGGACCATCTGCCTTTTTACAGCGGACAATGTTCAAAGGTTAGCATATTTTTAACAGTACAGCAGCCTTTATTTATTTATGAGCCTTTTTTGTCATGAGACATACATATGGAATATTACAATTACTTAAATACAGAGTACAAAACAGTCATCGCCCCTGCTGAGTATAGGCCTCCTCCATTCTTCTCCATTTGTCCCTTGCCCTATGTCATAGTAGTCTTTATAACTCTACTAGCTTTAGCCTCCGACTCCGTCCGCGTGGAATTAAAAAACAAAAGCAAGTAGCCTATGTGTTCTTCCAGACTATCATCTTCATCTATACCAAATCTCATCAAAACCCGTCCAATCGTTTAGGTTACAAACTCTAAAAATCCATCCATTCATCTAAACTTTCGCATTTATAATATTACGAGCTGTTGCCCGCGACTTGGTCTGCGTGGTATTCGAAACATACAAACTATATAAATTACAAAAAGCTATGTATCCCTCGGAAACCGGACATATCTCGGGGATGAACCTTATCCCACGTGTACTTCAGACTTTGTTTTATATCTGTGCCAAATTTCAATTAGATATATTGAACCGTTGCAGAATGATCGAGTAAACATTAAAAACTAAATTAATGAATCCCACGGGAACCGTAACTATTCCCGGGATAAAAAGTAGCCTATGTGTTCTTCCAGACTATGCTTCAAACCTGTGCCAAATTTCATGGAGATCCGTTCAGCCGTTTAGGCTACAAACGCTAACAAACATCCATCCATCCATCCATCTATCCATCCATCCATCTAAACTTTCGCATTTATAATATTAGTAAGATTATGATGGAAATGTATATTGTATGGAGTGCAATGTTGCAGTTGTCAGGTAGTGCGGGCGAGTTCATGGCACGCGACTTGAGCGAGCAGTCGGGGCTGGAGCTGTTTGTGCCGGATCTTTGCCGCACCGTGCTGCTGCAGCACACTGCCAGCGGCGCACGCGACGGCCTCGCGTACCACAAGTACGAGCTCACTGAGTCCAGCTTTGATAACTGTGAGTATGACAGAGAAATCACTTCATTGCAATACTTTGATAATGATAATTTTATTAACTGATGGTTAACTTTGGTAGGGATCTTATCAGGTGTGAAGTTTATGCTTAATACGTGATTCACACTTGACCAGTTGCGATGGTTTTAGACTGTATAGACACAGTTAATAGTCAGTCCAGTTATTGAGCGCTTCTGTCTTACTGTACTGGTCAAATGTGAACCGCGTATCATTCATAATTGATACATATTAGATGCTAGCTCAATCTGAATGTTGAAAGAGTGAAATAGAAAACACCTTAAAACTGTTAGATAGAGTTTTTTCTTATTTGAAATTAAGGTTATTTAGAAGTACAAAATCCTTCAAAGAGATGAGTAAAATGAATAAGTAATGAATGCAGTAAGTAAATACGAAGACCTAATGTTTCCCAGCTTCATCATCGCCGGAGAACTCGTGCTTCTGCAACGGGGAGTGCGCGTGGGGCGGCGTCATGAACGTCTCCTCCTGTCGCTACGGCTC